AGGCTGGCCTCGAACTCATAGAGATCCACCTATCTCTGCCTCCTGAGTGCTGAGATCAAAGTTGTGCACCACCATGCCCAGTTCATCCAACATATAATCGATTGACTTTTGGTTTCAAGACAGGGTTTCTCTGTGTAACAGTCCTGGCTGTCCTGGAACTCACCTTGTAGACCAGGCTGGCCTCGAACTCACAGAGATCTGCCTGCCTCTGCCTCCCAAGTGCTGGGATTAAAGATGCTTACCATTACCACCCAGCTGGTTGACCTTTTGAAGCTGCAGCACAATGCTCCGTGGTATAAATGGTTTGCTGTGTGTGTGTGTGTGTGTGTGTGTGTGTGTGTGTGTGTGTGTGTGTGTGTGTTGTGTATGTGTGGTGGTGGTGGTGTTTTTGGTTTGGTTTTTGGTTTTTTCAAGACAGAGTTTCTCTGTGAAACAGTCCTGGCTGTCCTGGAACTCACTCTGTAGACCAGGCTGGCCTCAAACTCACAGATCCGCCTGCCTCTGCCTCCTGAGTGCTGGGATTAAAGGCGTGTGCCACCACCGCCCGGCCCATTTGCTGTGTTTTAACCAATCATCCATTAAATGGCACCTGTAACTGCCCATTGAGGCTTTTAGAAAGGCAGCTGCTATGAACATCCAGGTACAGCTTTTCTGTGTACAGCTTTTGTTGCCCTGGGATAAATATTCCAGAAAACAACTGATGTTGTAGCTGTGCATAGCTCCATAGGAAACTGCCAAGGTGTTTTTGGATCACCCTTTTCATTCTGGTTTCTTTTTCAGATTTATTTTTAATTATGTGCATGTGAGTATAGGTCTTGGTGTGGGTGTGTGCCCATGAGTGCAGGTGCCCTCAGAGGCCAGGGGTGTTAGATCCCCTGGAGCTGGAGTCATAGGCCATCGTGAGCTGCCTGATGTCTGTACAGGGAACTGAACTCAGGTCCTCTGGAAAAGAAGAGCAGCAAGAGTTCTCAACTGCTAAGCCATCTCTCCAGCTCCTCCCTCTCCTTTTTATCCAGGCCAGCAATGTAGAAGTGCTTCTGTCTAGTTCCATCCTCGCCAGCGTTTGACCCTGTCACAGTCTGGACGTTAGCCATTCTCATGGGTTTGTGCTGACATCTTGTACACTGACTGACATCGCCCTGAAGGCTGATGGTGGTGACCCTTTCTCATGGGCACTGCACCCAGCCCCTTCCTGGGGAACTGTCTCTTCATTCACTTTGCCCGTGTCCTGACTAGATGCCCCCTGAGTTTTCAGCATTCTTTTTATATTCAAGACACTAGTCATTTGTTGACTATGGGGCTTGCAAATATTTTCTCCTACTTCGTAAATCTAATTTATCAATTTTTCCCTTTTATGGAGAACTGTTTTTGATGTGAGTCTCTTTGCCTAATCCTCGGGCCTAAGGTTTTCTCAATTTTTTTTCTAAAAGGTTCACATTTCATTTTGTCTCTGACCCAATGGAGCCCATTGTTGGATAAGATGTGAGATTTGCATTGGGATGGTTCCGGTTGTTGGTGTGTTTGTTCGGCCATTGGATGACCAGTGCTCCACTGGTGGTTAGCAGTGCTGCCTCAGGCATTACCAAAGCTTGGCTTAACATATTTGTTTGGGTGCATTTCATATAGTTGATTACTGTATCTGTTTCTCTGCTGATACCACATAGTCCTAATTACTACAGCCATACTGTGAGCTTTTTTTAAAGATGTGTTTTGTTTTGGTTTGTTTTTTGAGACAGGGTCTTTGTTTGTTTGTTTGTTTTTCGAGGACAGGGTTTCTCTGTGTAGCTTTTGAGCCTTTCCTGGAACTCGCTTTGCAGACCAGGCTGGCCTCGAACTCACAGAGATCCGCCTGGCTCTGCCTCCCAAGTGCTGGGATTAAAGGCGTGCACCACCATATCCAGCCTGTTTTTATTGTTTGTTTGTTTTTTAATTTATGTGCATTATGTGTCTCTTTGTGGGTTTGAGCAACCTGAGTGTAGTTGCCCCAGAGGCCACTGGAGCTGGAGTTGCAGACAGATTAACCCTCCTGATGAGGGTGCCTGCCTGGGACTTAACTGTGAGTCTCTCTGCAAGAGAATAGTGGGCCCTCAGCCACTGAACCCTCTCTCCAGCCCTTACTGTAAGCTTTACTGTGGGAAAGGTGACTCCTCCTACTTCATTCTAGGTTATTTCAGGTATTACAAAGCTGTATCTTCCCATGTGAGCTTTTAAAAAATCAACTTATCTGTGACTACAAAACAGAGTTCCTGAGATTTTGACAGGAACTGGAAGAAACCCAAAGAAGGCCTATAACAAAATTGCTAAAGGGTCTTATTAATAAAGAACCCGGAGCCAGACAGTGGGGTGAAAATTGAGAGATCAGAATAGAACAAGCCAGCCACAAGTTCTTACTGCTAGGAAATCCTCAGCCCAACAAAGAGCTACTTCCTGTATACTCACGCCTATATACCTCTCTGTGCCCTGCCATCTTACTTCTCTCTCTGCCCAGCTACATCACTTCCTCTTTCTGCCCAGCTCTATCACTTCCTGTCTGTCTGTACAGACCTCCAGACCTCTATGGTTAACTAGTGCTGGGATTGAAGGCATGTGCCACCATGCCTGGCTCTGTTCCCAGTGTGGCCTTGAACTCATAGAGATCTGCATGGATCTCTGCCTCCCGAATGCTAGGATTAAAGGCATGTACTACTACTGCCTGACCTCTATGTTTAATATAGTGGCTGGCTTTTCCCTCTGAGCCCCAGGAAAGCTTTATTTGTTAGAGCACAAATAAAATATCACCACAATGACCTTGGAATATATTTTTATGTTGAGTCTTCCAGCCCCTGAGTGTGGGATGCACCGCATTGATTACTCTGTGTAGTTGGGTTTTTTACTCTTGGGGGGCCCACCACTCAGCTCCCAAATAAATATACAGAAACGTAATCTTACTTATGAATGTCCGGCCTTAACTTTGCTTGTTTCTAGCCAGCTTTTCTAACTTAAATTATATTATCCCGTTTCTTGTTAACTATATTTTGCCTTTGGGCTTTTTACCTTCCTTTACTCTATATATCTTCCTTCTTACCCTTGGCGGGCAGTATGGCTGGGTGGCTGGACCCTGGTGTCCTCCTGTCCTTCTCCTTTTCTGGCTCCTCCTCCTTCTCTCTTCTCCAGAGCTTGGATTTCTCCTATTTATTCTCTCTGCCTGCCAGCCTTGCCTGTCCCTCTCTCCTGCCTTGCTATTGGCTGTTCAGCTCTTTATTAGACCATCAGGTGTTTCAGACAGGCAGAGTACCACAGCTTCACAGAGTTAAACAAATGCAACATAAAAGAATGCAACACATCTTTGCAGCATTAAACACATATTCCACAGCATAAACGAATGTAACACATCTTAAATTAATATGCCACAACATCTCTTCTCATTGATCTTCCCTCATTGATTACCACCTCACCCACACTGTGCAGTTTTTAGAATATAAACTGTATATGTGGTTTCCTGCGTTTATTTTACATACATTCTTTGCAGAGATTGTAAACAGTATTTATTTTTATTGTACCAGATGCAGTGTGTTGATCCTACGGTCTCGCTGGTCTTCCTAGTTGTGGTTTGGTTTGTTGGCAGTCTTTGGGATTTTGTAGGTGGATAGATAGCCTGTCATTTGAATTCTTCCATTTCTTTCTTCCCAAGTAGTATGTCCTCTTTAATATTTTTAACTTATTCTTTGACAACTTCATACATGCATACAACGTATTTTTAAAAGAATGTTTTCTATTTAGCCTGCGTGTATATGTGTGTACGTACCACCCGCATGCAGTGCCTACAGAAGCCAGAAAGACTACCAGATCTCCTGGAACTGGAGTTTCTGTTGTGTGGGTGCTGGGGACAGCTCTGCTAAATCAGCAAGTGCTCCTAACCACTGAACCACCTCCCCAGACCCAACACAGAATGAATTTTGACCATATTTCACCCCCTTCCCCTCCAACTCTTCCCTCATCCCCCACCTCACATTCGCCTCCCAACCTCAGGCTCTCTTTTCCAATCTGCCTTTTACCTCTTGTGCTTGGTTGAGTGAGAACTGTGAAACTGCTTGCTCCTGAGCTTAGAAGTGTTCGGTTTTTTCACTAAAAGCATGACGAAGTGCATATTTTTATCACAAAACATCTTATAACTTTTTTTTTTGAAAGGGGACATTTTAGATTTAGTTATTGACCCATCTAAGGTGACTAAAAAAGTCTCTACTTCCTGCTTCTGTGCCTGTAAGAATGACAAGTTCCCGCCGCCGTGGTCGGTGGCCCCGCAGGTGCTGGCCCTTGCGGCCTCGGGCCCCTCCCTGCCGGCGCTGCTCCTCCCCGCGGCAGGCGGCTGCCAGCCTCGCTGCCTGCCAACCCGAGTTGGCGATAGGGAAGTCTCCGATACCCAAGTCCAGGGTGACGGGCGTGCCTGGGGCCAGATTTAAATTGTGTGAACTTTTGGCAGCAAGCGGCGGCGGTGAGAAAAGAGCGAGCTGTGAGCGGAGGAAGCCAGTCGAGAGATCCGCCGCGGGGGGTGGGGAGGGGCCGGAGAGCGCGCGAAAGCGGCGGCGCAGCGCGGCCCCGCGGGCGGCCTCTCCTTTTATGGGAGCGGTACGCCGCCGGCGCGGGGCCCCGAGAGGGAGGCGCGCCTCCGCCGAGGGTGCGGCGGGTGCCCACGGGCCCACACCTGCGCGAGGACGCGCGTGTCCGCCGGCGCGCGCGGCGGACGCAGCGCTGGGACCGCCGCTCCCCCTTCCCACGCTTGCTCGCGGGCCGTACCAAAGGCGCGGGGGGAGCGGAGCGTGCCATCGCGGCCCACCTGCGGCTGCGGGGCCTGGGCGGGGACGCGCTCCTCCCTGGCCGGCCGCGCGCTCCCGCCGCCGCCGCCGCCGCCGCCGCCGCCGCGCGCGTCCGCCGCCGCCGCCGCAGGCCCCTCCTCCCGGGGCGAGAGAAGCCGGACCGCCGCGGCCCATGCTGATCCGTGTCCTCCTCCTCCTCCCCCTCAGGCGGCGCTGGCGGCGGACCCGGGACCCGCGGAAGCCGGCATGCTGGAGAAGCTGGAGTTCCAGGAGGAAGGTGAGTGCGCGACCCGCACCCTGCGCTGCCGGCGGCGGGCACCGGGACTGCAGCCCGGTCCGGGGTAAGCACCGGGCTCCCGGAATGCAGCCCGGTTCCTGGGGACGCAGCCCCGGTCTGGGGGAAGCACCCAGCCCCAGGGACGCTGCCGGGTTCCCGGGGACACTGCCTGACTGCGGGGATGCAGCCCTGTTCTCCGGGTTGCAGCCGGGTTCCGGGGATGGAGCCCGGTTCCCGGGAACACAGGCTCGCTGCGAGGATGCAGTCCGGCACCGGGGAATGCAGCTCCGCTCCAAGGGATGCAGCCTCGCTCCCGCAAACGCAGCCGGGTTCCGGGGGACGCAGCCCCTCTCCCGGGAGCGGCCGCCCGCGCGCTCCGAGGGACGGCCCTTTTGTCCTCGGCACCAGAACTCGAGGGAGAACCAGGTGTCATGCAGCCCTAATTGTGCATGTCACCGCGCACTCCGAGGACACCCCGGAATCACACGGACAGCTCATGCCTTCAAATAATAAACCAGTTCCCTTATCTGTATTTGTGGAAATACCTCTAGTAGGGTGTGTCCCTCCCCCACCCCCCAATGGGTAAAGTTAAAACGGCAAAACCGAAGTGGCTGATTGAACTGGTTTGAGTCCCGGCGACCCCCTCACACTTGGCCGTCCTGTCTCCTCTCCAGTCGCCTGGTTTTTCTTCTTCCTGCCCTATTTTCTAATTGTATCTTCTTACAGGTAAATAGCCTGGATCTTATTTTGAGGCTGCTAACATTTAAACGGGGTAGGCGAAAATGAACTTTATATAAGATGCATGACCATTTGGAGACTATAAAAGGCCCTATGCAGTCTCGTGTACTTCCATGATTTATTTAGCGGCTGCTCTTTTTTTTTCCAAGAGTACTGACAGAATGAAGGGCCTGGAACAAAGACTGTGCCGTGTGGATGCTGTCCCTTGTGCCAACTTTACTTTAATACCCCTGTTCATTTATGTTCAGGCAATTACTTAAATAAGCATGCACAACCAGCTGGGGAGTACTACCCTGATAGCATTAGGCCGGTGCCTGTTGTAGCTTCGCTGTAGCACTTCACAGATACATTGGCCTAAAGATAACGTGTCAATAGAAATGTCTTCATTATTAACAAATGGTGCATTTCACAGTTTTTCTGGGCTTCGTTTGTGTTTTGTCCTATCAGAAGATAAGCCTGTGTCTTCATTCGGACGCGCCTCCTTGTCCCTTGGTGTTAGTATATTGCACAGCAGGTAGTGAGTGACCCCTGACTGCAGGGTTTATGGTGTGAGATACCGACTCATTGCAGATTAAAGTGAGACCTCGCAGAGTGGAGCCCTATGTGGGACAGCCCAGACTCGTATTCGTGTATCGGCTCCATCTCTTACTTGGCTGTCAGGTGCCCAGACGAGTGGTGTGAGTTCTCTGTGCCTTAGTTTCTTCCTGTATAGAATGGAGCTGATGTCCCAATGCTGTGAAGGTTAAATGAGACCTCCGCACTCTGGTGCTCAGACAGTGCAGACAAACCCATAGTCAGTGCTTTGTCACTTTTACTAAGTGCCATTCGCCATGTGCCAGATCCACAGACTTTTAAAGACACACGGGGATTCTGCTTAGCACAGGTTTCGTAGCTTTTCTTTTTTCTTTTTTTTTTTTTTGAGACAGGGTTTCTCTGTGTAGCTTTGTGCCTTTCCTGGAACTCACTTGGTAGCCCAGGCTGGCCTCGAACTCACAGAGATCCGCCTGGCTCTGCCTCCCGAGTGCTGGGATTAAAGGCGTGCGCCACCACCGCCCGGCCTTTTTTCTTTTTTTTTTTTTTTTAATTTTATTTTATGTGCATTGGTGTGAGGTTGTCAGATCCCTTGGAACTGGGGTTACAGACAGTTGTGAGCTGCCATGTAGGTACTGGGAATTGAACCCAGGTCCTCTGGAAGAGCAGTCGGTGCTCTTAACCGCTGAGCCATCTCTCCGGCCCCTGGTGGCTTTACTTTTTCCTTGAGATTTATGTCATGCGCACTTGTCAATGTTAGCTGTGCACTCTTCCACCTCGGGATTGCCCCTGCCTCTGTCATGAATGTGCAGTATGAAAGCTGAGCATGTACAAGGAAAAGGAGTGCCCCCTTTTCACCCATCTATTTTTATCTGTGTTGCCATCAATTAAGCACCCTGAATCCCACAAATAACCCTGTCAAATGTTTCTAGATTTTTTAAGAAGGCAGAATGTTAAATAATTACTTGGAAGCTGTCAAGCTGAGCTAGAAGAGGGAATAGTCCCGAACAGTGCTTTGTTTCCCTAGAACTTTGAAATGGTCGTTTACCTGGAATTCTGGAAAGCTGCTTTTTTTTTTTTTTTTTTTTTTTTTTTTTTGGTTTTTTGAGACAGGGTTTCTCTGTGTAGCTTTGCGCCTTTCCTGGAACTCACTTGGTAGCCCAGGCTGGCCTCGAACTCACAGAGATCCGCTTGGCTCTGCCTCCCGAGTGCTGGGATTAAAGGCGTGCGCCACCACCGCCCAGCGAAAGCTGCTTTTTTGAAGGGGAGAAGGAAGTTGCAACAGTATGACATCACACCTATAAGTATCCTGGGAACCGATGGTGGCTGTCCACAGAGTAGGTCGGAATTGAGTATGTCCCGTGTTCATCTTTCAGCCTCCTTGTTACCCACTTAATATTCTTAATTACCATTGGCTTTTGGAGGCATGGCCTAGAGATGATACATTTGTTGTACATGGAAGTACATGATAACTGGTCGTGTTGTACCCAAGCTGTTTTTCTACTTCCTAATAAATCTCAACTCTGTTCCAGTTGTCAGAAGCCATTCAAGGGTATTAATGAAGCTAAGAGGAAAGGCGAGGTAAAAGTGAGACCTGCACTGCGTGGTTGGGTCATTGTTAACCTGAACCATGATACTACCACCACAACACTGATTAGGGAGATGCTCCCGCTCACTGCTCTCATTTCTCTACGTCAGCGTAGACTTGGATCTTCTCGGTGCCTTTCTGTGCGGAAGAATCTCGTGAGACCTTTTTAAGAGGCAGTCATCCCTGGCCCCCCAATTCTGCAGGTCCAGGATGGGGCCTGCATGCTTCCTGCTGCCCAGCCCTGGTGGGCCTCTTCTCTGCTGCTTCATAGGCTTCCCTTTAAAGAGTGAGGCCCCAGGTCATGGATCATCAGATGCAGCAAAGGGCCTGGCCTTGTGGGCCTAATGGTCTCAGGCTTTGTCATAGCTGCCCAGCTTGCCCTTGTTGCAAGAAAGCAGCCCAAGGCCGCACACAGTGGGCAAGGCTAGTTTCCAAGAAGAGTGATTTATGAAATGGGCCAGATTGGGCTCCTAGACATAGCACAATAAACCCTGCTCCCTGTGCCCCTCAGCATGTCTGTCACCCTGTACACCACAGCTTCAAGGTGTACCCCAAATCTCATCTTTTCTCTGAGGCTGTCCCCCTATGTGCTTTTCCCTGTCTCCACATTCTCCGGTTCTGCTGGTGTGTACCGCTAAGATCTCAGTGGCCACCTTAAATGTCTGTATTTACTTCATGATGTTGGGAGGATCTAGCGGCCTCATTTGCTCGAAGCCATGAGAACAGAACCTCTCCAGAGCCTTCGCTTTATATGTTTGCTTTTTGAATTTCTTAAACTCTGGGACCAATCACATCTTTTTAGCACTTGTGTTTATCTATCTGAACTGCCTTGAGTCTGTTTCTTGGCTGGGTCTGAGCACCCGAGCACAGGCTCGGCTGCTTTAGAGGTCATCTCCCTGTAGCTGCATTCCTGGTCATTCAGCCTGCTGGAACCCTGGCACTCTTCACCAGCTGGACACCTCTTTTAGGCTTTAGCTCCATCCTTGGCTTCCGGCTTGCTCTCCCCCCCAGTCTGGGGACCTCCAGAGGTTCAGGTTTAAAGTGGCTTGCTACTGTGGCCTTCTCATCTTCCTTGCTGATTGGCTTCTCCTCACCCGTCATGCTCTGTCCCATCTGTACCCTGGGTTCCATCCTGCCCTCGCGGTTCTTCACCGAGCAGTTTCCAGACCTCACTCGCACACAGTCCCACCGTGGGGAGCCTGGCCATCTAGGTCTAGAGTGATCAAAATAAGAAAGGGGCTGAGGAGATAGCTCAGTCAGTAGCGTATTTGCTGCTCAACTGTGGGGTCCTGGTTTCCTCCCTGTGGCTGTGACAAACCCCAGACCTAAAGCAGCTTGGAGAAGAAGGGTTTATTTCGTCTTACAGCCTATAGATCACCATGAAGGAAAGTCAGGGCAGGAGCCTGGAGGCAGGAACTGAAGCAGAGGCTATGGAACGATATTACTTACTGGCTTGCTTTCCTCGGCTCACTCAGCCTGCTTTTTTGTACCCTCAGGACCACTTGCCCAGGGGAGGTACCACCCACAGTAGGCTGGCCCTCCCACATCAATCACTAATCGTGAAAATGCCTCACAGACTTGCCTCCAGGCCAAGATGATAGAAATATTTTCTCAATTAAGGTTCCCTCTTCCCAGGTACCTCTATCTGGTGTCAAGTGGATAAACCAAACAGCCAACATGAGGCCCTAAACTCAATCCTCAGCATCCATATCTAAAGCTGGGCATGGTAGTGCAGGCCTATAATCCTGCACACTGGGGAAGTGAAGCTAGGTGGATCCCTGGAGCTTGCTGGCCCGCTACACTAACTCAACAGCCACCTCTGGCCTTCACCCACACGTGACACCTGAACACTTAAGTGCATGGACACAAGAAAGAAAGGGGGCTTACTTGGTATGAAGGATGAGCATCATTTTCCAGTCAAATATCAGAGTTGAGGCCCTGTTATGGAAAGGGACGGCTGCCTTGCCTTGGATAATCCACAGAGCCTCCTGAGCGTGACTGTAGTATTGTTATCATTATGAACCGTCTCTGTCAAACACGGGCCTGGCATTTGGAGACCACTTGCTTGCTTTCTTTTCCTGCTTGGAAATCAGACTCCAGAGCATCCAAATGACCAGTGTACAAAAAAACAAAAACGCCGGGC